AGGAAGGAAGGAAGGAAGGAAGGAAGGAAGGAAGGAAGGAAGGAAGGAAGGAAGGAAGGAAGGAAGGAAGGAAGGAAGGAAGGAAGGAAGGAAGGGTAGAAAGGAGGAAAGAAGAGAAAGGAAGGAAAGAGAGAGAAAAGGAAAAGTGAAAAGAAAAGAGAAAATGGAAAAGAATCTGAAGGGAAAAAAAAAAAGAAAATAAAAGACAAAGCAAAAGAGGAAAAAGAAATGATCTCCAGTCCTGGTTCAGGCATTGGTCCAGCCAATGGAATGTCCAGGGGTACAAGCTCTGGGATGAGTTTCTCACTTTCCATGCAAACTGCTGCTCATGTGCAGTCCACTCTTTTATACCTTTCTGGAGAACTGCTCCCCTACCTCTACATGGCCCCTTCTCCAGCTACATCTTGTTCTTTCTCATGGTTATTGCCAGCACTCCTTGTCTGTTGTTACCAACAATCCTTGGTTTGCCCCACAGCCATCCACCTGTTGCTATTGGAGACACACATCAGCCCTTTATCTTATTTATTTTCTGCCCCTCTGGGCACCAGTGTCCTGCCAGCCCATTCCTGGCCTGTGGAGCCATCAGCATTGTCCAGATTCCCACCCTGGTGGGACACAGCCCACCCCACCTGGGCTCCACAGCCAGGTCRTGCACCAGGYCCCACCTCCTYCCCTGCCCCATCCCTGCTGCTGCTCTGCCCTTGGCTGTGCCCCCACTTTGATCCCTCCCCAACCAAACCAATTCCCAGTTTTTTTTTCACCGTTTCTCCTACCCACAACCTGCTGTKCTTCCTCTTTCCCTTTCCTTTTGAGGCCAGCCCGGAGACAAGCTCTGCTACCATAGAAAGGCCAGCGGTTGGGCTTTGCCTCACGCAAATCCTCGCTCCCAAACTGCAGCCTGGGTGCCAGAAACACCTCAGAGCCGAGAGGGGAACAGAGGAAGGAGCTGCAGCCCCCCACACCTGCCCCTGCAGCTCCTGGACACCCTGGACCTGCTCCTAGCCCGTGCCATGGAGAGGAAAGTGGATCATCGGCAGGGTGTGGTGAAGCTGGTGGCTGTGTTTGAAGAGCACTGGTAAGGAGGGASGGCTCTGGGTGCTGGGGATGTGTTAGGGCTCCACATGGAATGGGTTTGGGAAGGAAGAACCCACTGTGGAGGTGGTTTGGAGGCTGTGGAGATGCTGATGAGCTGATTTGCAACTCTTCACCACTCGACTCTGCCTCAGTGTCTTCCTTCTGCTGTGGGTCATGGGCAGAAATCTGAAAACCTCAGTGGGGTGGGTGGTTCTGCCTGGCTCAGGGTTAGGTTGAGGCAGCCCRTTCCCCCGACACTCAGCATCTTCACACTCAGCCTGGCTGGTGCATTCTGCTGCTGGGGAAAGGAGCTGTGGTTTGCAAATATATTGGCAGGGGTCTTCACTGGGAATTAACTGCCTGGGAGGCTCCCAGCCTCAGACTGTCCAGTTGTTTGCAGAGATGTGGCTCCTAGGGAAGGAAACATCAGGAATTACATAAGGGAGAGAGAGAATTCCCTTTGAGAATCAGCTCCYTCCCTTGGAGTGTGAGCTGGGACTCTCAGACAGCATGTGCCAGGGTTGGAGYGAGGGGATCTGCCCTGTCTGTGGTGTAAAAGTACTTCTGAGGCTTCAGGTGAGTTATTGTCAGGGTTGTGTCTCAGTTTCTCCATCTGTTGAATYAAGATATGGAATCCTGCCTTTCCCTGTACTCAAAATGCTCTCAGTGACCCTTAGAGAGGCTGGGTGATTGGGCAGGTGAGTTTTGCATCAATTCCTGAAGATGCTCGGATTCTTTTCACTCCAGGAACTTCTCCTGCATCTCTGCTGTGTGCTTTTGCCCAGGTTTTGTGGCTGCCCCCACCATCCCACCTGTGGTGTTGTGCTGGAGCCACTGCAGTGTTTGATGTGCCTCCATGTCACTGCTGCAATGTGTTTGATGTTTGTTGTGGAGTGTGAGCTTGATTTAGAGGAAATAAAAGTAACTTGGGACTTTCAGAGGAAACTGGGGGACCTGGGAATGAGCAGAGCATTTTGGAACAGAAAATGGTTTGGCTTAAGTCAGCGTAAATAGAAAGAGAGAAGTTCCCTGTTGGGCTTCAGCAGTGGGTTTAGGCTGACAAAGGTCTGGGAGGCACCAGGAGAGATGGAAAAATCCTCTTTGTTTCTGAAGGGTCCTGCCAGCCCCCCTGGACARGAGGGGATTTGTGAATGGCTGTGGATGCTCACAGACATCCCAAGCTTACCAGCTTCAGATGGGTCTCTGCCCCTCAAGTCAACTCCTATCCTCAACTTTGCAGTTTGATATCCAGTTTCTTCATGTCTTTCCCATCCTATCCATCTCACTCCTGTCTGCAGCCCAACAGGGGATGTCTTTCCAGTTTCTGCCCAGAGTGGTTTCCTGCAGGGACCAGCTCTTGCATGACAGACAAGTCACTTGCTGTCACCTTCATGACCTGGCTTCTCCCCCATGTCTGCCCTGGACCTGCTTTCCTTGTCTTTGCTAGAAAAGGGAAGAGAGAACACCACCAAAAAACAACCTGTCTGCAAAACCACCTACACAGGGCCTACTCTTGGCTCAAAAATCTTGGCTGTTGGGCTTCTTCCTGCTTTGCTCCGTGGTGGCAGCAGGCAGAAAGCCAGAGCTGTGGGTGGGATAAATGGCAGGATCCTGCTTTTCTGGAGCAGGAGAGGGACTGGCCACAGCAGCAGGAGGCACTGGGGGAAGAGAGGCTGGATCCTGGCCCTGTGGAGGATGCTGAGGATGTTTGTACTGCAGGGTTGTAGTGAGGTGGGTCTGGGGAGCTGCTGCTCTTGTCCCTTTTGGTGGCTTTAAGCTGGGGCTGGGGCTGTGCTGGTGAAAGCTGAGCTGATCCCACCCATTCCTTTGTAGCAGGGACAGCAAACCTGCCCAGAGGGACAAGCAGGCTCTGACCAATGCTGCAGCCAGCCASTCCCAGCAGCTTTCAGCATCCCCTGCCAGCCAGAGCCACTCCCTGACCGGAGAAGGGAATGAGGAGAAGGATCAGCAAGGTCGGCGTGGACTCAGCTTCAAATGCCTCCGTTCTCTGCAAAGCAAGATCTGTGAGGAYGACTGGAGGAGGCCACAGGGCCCAGGCCTGGAGCCTGGCAGCCAGGTGAGCTCCAGAGGCTGGTGGGTGCCCACGCTCAGGGAGGGCTGGCTCGGGATCACAGCTCTACCCATGAGACTGAACCCTGCTCCCCATGCAGGAACCAGAGGAAAAGAAAATCGCTCTGGAGCTGCTGGAGACAGAGCAGGCCTATGTGAACCGCCTCCACCTCCTCGACCAGGTGACGCGACCTCCTCGACCTGGGGAGTGGAGGGGCCCATGCGTGGGGATTTTGGAGGCAGTGAAGCTGTAAAAATGAGAGACTCGTGGCTACAGGTCTTTAAAGCCAGACATTGGGTCTGGCCTTTGCCTTTCCTACACCCCACATCTCTGRGAAGCACCCTCATCCCAGCAAAGCCTTCCTTCCCCATCTCCTCTTGGGGCCTGAGATTTCCCTCCTGCACTGTCAGCCTTTCACTGGGTGATGTCTCAGAGCAAGTGGGATCCTCAAGCCTCTTCCTGGCCCTTTTTGTTCACCCTTCTTTCTTCCAGGTATTCTATRCAGAGCTGATGAAAGAAGCCAAAACCGGGAAGACGGTCCCAGAGGAGGTGGTGAAAATGATCTTTTCCAACATCTCCTCCATCTACCAGTTCCATGCTGAGTTCTTCCTGCCAGAGCTGCAGAAGCGCATGGAGGATTGGTGAGCTGCAGGAGGGYTGGGCAGGACACCTGGGTGGCTTGTTCAAAGTGGGGCAGCAGTGCTGAATTCAGGCTCCCAGCAGGACCAGAGCTCAGCGTGTTTTGCTCCAAATGCCTTGTTCTGGAAAGCACTTCCTTAAATCACTGAGATCAGAGTATGGAAAGGGGAGTGACACCTCAGGRGGTTTGGGGTGTGCCTGGGTATGARCAGCCCAGGTTGGCTGTAAGGTGGGAACATTCCCATTCTGGAGAGCAGGAAATGGTGTGGGGATGTAGCAGGATGCAGCAGGAAAAACCTGAGTCCTCCACTGTGGCCCTTCACTTCACCCCTCGCTGTYTGTCTGCCCCAATGGCCTGAGGAAGCTGCTGGTCTGTGGTTCCCTCCTGCAGGAACCGCAACCCCCGCATTGGGGATGTGATCCAGAAGCTTGCACCCTTCCTCAAGATGTACGGGGAGTACGTGAAGAACTTCGACAAGGCCGTGGAGCTCATCACTGCCTGGTCAGAGAAATCACCCCCCTTCCAGGAGCTCATTGCTGACATCCAGGTAAGGGCAGGGTGGGAGGAATCACAGCAGCGCTCCCARAATCTCCTGGGATCGGGGAAGCAGCAGAGGTGGGAGCTGCCTGGTCACTGTTCCTCTCTCTGTGYCTGGTGTCCCTGCCCAGAAGAGGAAGGTCTGTGCTAACCTGACGCTGCAGCACCACATGCTGGAGCCTGTGCAGAGGATCCCGCGCTACGAGCTCCTCCTGAAGGATTATGTCCGGAAACTCCCGCCCCAGTCCCCCGACAGAAGCGATGCYGAGAGTAAGGGCTCAGCTCTCCACAGTGCGGAGGGCAGGGTGGGTTTGTGGGGAAATAACAACCCCTGGTGTTGTACAGGAGCACYAGAACACCTGGATTCACTCACCAACTGCCCTGTGCCCTTGGATAAACTTCTCAGTCAGATAAACCTTTCTAGCAAAGCGAGGGTTTAGTCTGCTCTTTCAGGGGAAGGATGGTGTTTCAGGGTAAGGGTGGTCCCTCCACTGTATCCCTGTAGCTGAGGGAGTTTTCAGACCCCTGTGGATTACACAGTGCCCAGTCTTGCTGGAATGGAAGGATACAGGAGCTGTCTGTCTGTTCCCCCCTGGATCCCTCCATGTCAGTCCAGTCATACTCAGACTCTGCACAGCATTTCAGGGCCACTTGGGTTGTGGTCACAGGAGGGCAGCCTGTCCAGCTGCCTCCAGCTGCTTCCAGCCTGTCTCTTCTCATTGCAGAGGCCCTGGAGATGATCTTTATGGTGGCCAAGCACTCCAACGCAGCTATTGCTGAGATGGTGAGTCTCTGTCCCGGCTGGAAATGCTTTGCAGCTCACGGCACAGTGACCCTGAAGGGGACAGGAGCCTTCTGGGTTCATCAGAGGAGCACAGACCCTGCTCTAAAAGCCCCAACCCACCACCCCAAGCCTAGGGAAGTCACATCTGTAACATCAGCTGGAATGTGACCGGCTGGTTGAGGTTGGGAGCTGCTCCCAGAGATCAGTTTGGGCTGAGAGAGCTGTGCCACCTCTCCCAGTGCTCGGCAACTGGCCTGGGAGGTGGGGATGGAGGGGACTCAGTGGTGACAAAGTTTAGGCTGTCCAGCACCCCACAAAAACAGGTCCCTCTGCCTCCCCCAGGAACGGCTGCAGAAYCTCTGGGTGGTCTATCAGAGGCTGGGCCTCGAGGATGACATTGTGGATCCCTCCAACGAGCTGATCAAGGAGGGACCGATCCAAAAAATCTCCACCCGCAACAACAGCACATCGGAGAAGTACCTGTTCCTGGTGGGAGCTGGGATACACAGGGCAAGGGGAGGGAGCAGAGTGGGGAGAGGGGCAGCATAKCCTGGCCAGGGTGTTGCTGGGGCATCTCTGCACAGACAGGGTGAATTCAGAGCTGGGGGGTTTGACCCCATTCAGTGCAGGGTACCCTGTGKGGGACCTGGTTGGGGATCTGCTGATCCCTGGGTGTGGCAGCCCTGGGAGTTGCTTCACCTTTGCAGGGAGGGAGGGAACTGGGGCAGGAACAGTCACGTTTTAGGTGAGATTCTTCCCAAGGACCAGCTCAGCCCTGGGGGGTGAAGGACCCAGAATCCAGGGAAGCCTCCAGCTTGGAGCAGGCAGTGCTGGTCTCCAACCCCCACTGTTTCCCCCTCCCAGTTCAACAACATGCTGCTGTACTGTGTGCCCAAGGTCATCCAGGTGGGCGCCGAGTTCCAGGTCCACCTCCGCATAGAYGTGGAGGGCATGAAGGTGAGACAGGCACCTTGTCTTTGTGCTTCCCTAGCCCTGACTCCTCCAAAAGCCCTCTCTGGGGTGTGCCTGCTGCTGCCCGAACTTCCTCAGGCAGGAGGGAGGAGCTGGAGCCAGGGGTGGCTTCGTGGGTGGGGTTGATACTCCCTGATCATGTGAAATGTCAGTGGAATCTTGTGCATGTGGGATATGAGGGGCTGAAGGGCTTGTTCCCGAGGGACATCCCTGTGCCCTGTCATGGAGAAAGGTCCAGGTGTTCTGGAGGTGGGCTCAGCTGCTYATCCTTTCCCTGGTCCCCYGCAGGTGCGGGAGCTGAAGGACACYGAGTTTCCTCACACTTTCCTGGTCTCAGGAAAGAAGCGGTCGCTGGAGCTCCAGGCCAGGTAAGGGGAAGGSTGGCATCATGCAGACCCTGGGTGAGGAGGGACAACAGCTCATCCACCTCTTTTTTGCACCAGGTCCGAGGAGGAGATGAACGCCTGGATCAAGGTACCAGCGAGTGCTGGGAGAGGGGCACAGCCCTYTCATCCCAGCTGGGTGCTCTGGGTCAGGGCAGCCCCCAGTGCCCCTCCAGCCCTGCCTTCCCCTTCAGGCCTTCCAGGATGCCATTGACAGGAAGGAGAAGAGGAGTGAGASCTTTAAGACAGCAGTGCATGGACTGGAGACAGACACCCCTGCSCTGAAGGTGTCACCCTCCCGCTCTCCCTGTGCCCCACCTGCCTCCAGCAGCTCAGGGGAGCCCACCTTGATGTGCCTCRGTTTACCGAGCTAAACTGAGCTGGGGGAGGGTGAGGAGGGGAACAGGTGAGGACAGAAGGGCTGGGACCACACAGACCATTGTCTCCCATCCCCAGACAGAGGAGCTGGGCCTCAGGGCCCCGCAGTGGGTACGGGACAATCTGGTGACCATGTGCATGCGCTGCAAGGAGCCCTTCAACGCCATCACGCGGCGGAGGCACCACTGCCGAGCCTGTGGATACGTGAGTCACCCTGTCCCTCTTCCYTCCCTCTGGGCTGCTGGGGCAGGAGTGCATCTCTCCCGCACCTTGTACCCCTTTCCCAGGGGCTGCTCCTGCCCCTCAGCTCCTCGTGGAGCTGTCCCTGGGTCCCCCAGCCCTGCCCCAGCATCACCAGTGTCCCTGTCTGGTGGCTGCAGGTGGTGTGTGCTCGCTGCTCCGACTACAAGGCCGAACTGCAGTATGACGGGAACCGCCCGAACCGCGTCTGCCAGGAGTGTTACATCTTCCTGACAGGCCACACGCTGCTCGAGGACCGCGAGGGGAGGCACAAAGGCATCCTGGAGGTGAGCTCTGCCCTCTCTGCCCGGCCTCCCCACGCCCTCTGAACATTGTCACCCACCCTGGTGTCCCTGCCTGGCCCTGCACACACGGCAGGAGGGGTGGGAGTCACTCCCACRGCAGTCAGAGGGTGCATGTGTTGATCTCTCTCCATCCTCCCCTCCAGGGATGGAGGGAGTAGCAGGGCACTAGGGCAGGTCCCGTCCTCAYTGGGACYAGGCAYTGGGGCTMCCTTCACCACAGGATCTCWGCAGCACCCTCACAGCCAGGACAGSCCCTCACCTGCCCTTGCTTTGGGGGGTTTTGTGGGATGGACAGGGAATTTCCTAGGAAATTACCTTGGCTCAGTGCCCTTTCTACCATCTGCATTGRGTATTGAGGGATTTGTTGCTTTTTTTTTGGCAGAAAGGCGCTGCAGAGGTATCCAACAGGAGTTTGCTCTGCAGTTCCCTGCAGCTGATGGATAAGAATGGCAAGGGGGGCACACGGGGCTGGTTCGTGATCCCACAGGATGATCCCCTTGTGCTCTACATCTATGCAGCCCCCCAGGTGAGGCCGGGCTCGGATCCACCCCGAGGGACACCCCCTGTGCCCATCCCCTGCCTCCCACCACTGTCCCTGTTCTTGGCAGGACGTCCGAGCCCACACCTCCATCCCACTGCTGGGCTACCAGGTGCGGGACGTGGCCCAGAGCGAGTCCCGGCACCTCTTCCAGCTGGTGCAGTCCCGGCAGGTGTTCACCTTCATGGCTGACACCGAGGAGCTGAAACGGCGCTGGATGAGGGCCATGGCRCGCTCTGCCGCGGGGATCACRCACGAGGAGGAGGAGGAGGAGGAGGCAGGCCCCTGTGATGAAGCAGAATGAGGCCATTCCCACTCCTGGGGTGCCTGGGGAGGGTCACAGGGAGTCTGGGGGACTTTGGGCAGACCCCCGACATCTCTGCTTTGCGGTTTTCCATCATGAGAAGGACGAGATGGGGGCACGTTTGGCACCACACGGACAAGCCGGATCCCCCTTTCCCTCTCTCCTGGCTCTCGGCGCTGGGCAGAGGCGCTGGGAATGGAGGGAGCGGGGATTTTGGGGAGCGCCCCCGGCCCCGGGCGCTGTGCAGTGCCACCGGCGGCCACGCGAGGGCAGCACCGCCCCGTCCATGCCCATCGGGCGCGGGGATGCCCCGAGTGGGGAGCGAGTCTGGGATTGGGACTGCTGAGATAAATCCCACCTGCGACCCCTCTCTGCAGCCTCCTGTGGGCCTGGATTTCCCAGAGCGCCCCGTGGCACTGTCCCCGTGGCTCCACATCGCCCTATGTGTCACATATTTGTCTGACACCCAGCAGGGACCCAGCTTGCAGCTCAGCCTCGCAGGTCAGGGACCCCACTGCTGGAGTCAAAGATGTCCCTTTTCCATCTTGTCACCACTCCTGGTGTCACGCTGCAGTTCCGTGGTGTGGGGGTACCCCTGAGYACAGACAGCCCTCACTGGGCCAGCCCCAACTCCTGCCCACCCCAGACTCTCCCTGCACTCCCTCCTGTCCACAATCACCTTCCACCCTTGTATCTCGCTCAGTTTCATGTTTCCTGGGGGAAACACTGGGACGAGGTTGTGTCCACACAGTCCACACAGGTGCTGCCGTGATGCTGGGGAGACCCAGAGGATCCCCCTCTCCACCCTCACCATAAKGAGCACCCTTGGTCATTTCACACAGTGCTTTAGGCTGCAGCCCCATGTTTTTCTCTCTGCACCCTCTTTGGCATCCCAAAAATGTTGCCCCGGCAACTCTGCCCACTTCTGAGCCTTCCAGGGGATGCAGGAGCCTCTTGCACAGATCTCTGGCAGGCAGGGGTTGGTGCCCACACCTGGACCATGCAGCAGCTCCAGCATGGCAGCCTTGGGCAGAGCTCAGGGGGTCACAGGGTGAACAGATCCGTGGGGACCGGGAAGGGAGAGGGGATGGAGCAGGACACTCAAATAGGGACAACATATGGGGAAAGGATGGGGAGTAAGCTGGGAATAACATATGGGGAACCACAGCTGGGGGGCTTCAGGGAGACAGGAAAATGTTGTGAGTAATGTCCTTCCTCAATCCACTGAGCTCATCCCAGGAAAAGACAAACTGTGGTGGCTTTATCTCCTTCGGAGATTCCGTCAAGGAAAGGGGAGAGGAGCTGGATATCAGGGTGACAGCTCTGCCAAAGCAGCTGCCCCTCGGGGTGCCACCCAGCACGGGGCTGAGCCCAGATGCAAACAGCACAAACAGGGCTTTCCAGAGCCACCCCAAAACAGCCCTCACCTCCCCCTGCACTGTCACCTCGTGGYGAAGGGAAACCCCAGCAGCCCTGGAAAAGCCGGGCAGCGCAGGCTGCTGCTGCTGGGAGGAAAGAGTGAGCGAGGGGAAGCCCGCGGGGCTGGAAGGTTCTGCGTGGTGGCCCTTCCACCTCGGCGTCACCYCTGTGTCAGCGAGGAACAAAACAAGCCCGGAGCAGGGAGCTGCCCTCGGCTCGTGAATGGCCTAAGAATAGATTTCCTGTTTACCCAGTGAGGAATGGCTCCCGGGGCAGAGGGCACCTGCGGCTATTTTTACCAGCTCTGCCCTCCTTCCTCCTGACCCCCAGCATCCGCGGGATCACCGCCCCCTGCAGCACCCATGTGTGCCTCGGGAAGGGGCTGCCAGGGAGGAGAGGTGGCCCAGGGATGGAGGGGGTGGCAGGGCACTGGGGCAGGTCACTGCCGTGACATTGGCATCWTGCCATCCTCAAAGACAGGGAGACAGCATCACTCAGTGCCCTGAGCATCCCTCAGACAGGAGGGTGGGTGACTGAACTTTAAAGGGTTTTCATGATTCCCTAACTCTGCTTTCCTAAAAAAAAAAAAAAAAAATAAAATAAAATACCCAAAAACCCCAAAAAACAATCAAAAAAAAAACCCAACCAAAAAAAGAAACAAAACAAAAAAAAATTTAAAAAACCCAAAACCGTGCACGTGCAGAGAACACACTGAATTTTCCCTGCCCCTCCTGTCTCAGTCCCCGGGCGGCGCCGCAGCCATGGTCAAGCGGAGCAGTTTGGCCTCTCGCCTCGCGAGCAGAAAGTGAAACCCCCGTGCAGAAGTCACAGTTTCCGATTCTCGAGAATGGGGAAGGATCACAGGCCGTTTACCGGCATCCCCCCCGCAGGCCCCCCCACGCCTCTTCTCGTAAGCACTGACCGAAATACGCTGTGAAAGCCACACTGGCTGYGCTGGGGCCGGGACACCCATCACARGGAGCACCCAGCCCGCGCCTTGCAGCCCATCCTGTCCCTGCAGCTGCTGCCTTGCACAGGCTGCGTGCCCATTGCACATCCCAAACCTCCATCGACACTGTGGGAGGGGGTGCACAGAGGGTCAGGGGCATGGGAGAGCAGAAGGGGACACGGTTGTGGTTCCCCCACAGGGCTCTGTGTGGTGCAATCTCCCCCAGCTCCCCACGAGGGGCTCGGTAGGGCCTGGAGCTGCTGCCTCTCCAGATGTGGGGTGGGATGGAAGCCCCATCCTGCAGGGCTGCTGCTCTGTGGGGTATGGGCTCTTGATCCACAGGGACAGGCACTATAGGGGCTGTCTGTGTGGCAGGCACTCCCCCCTCTATGGGGACTCTCCCACTGGCCATATTCTCTTGCTTGCCCTTTTTAGGTCCCTCTGCACAACATGGGATGGGGTTTTGTTCTTTAGGGGTCTGCTTTGCTGGGGCGGCACTTTTTGCTCCATAACTACAGGAATTTGGTTGTATGGGAGCTGGGCTCCCTAGGGGCCAGCCCCACTCTGTGGGGACTCTTGCTTGTAGGTGTTGGGCTCCACAGGTGTGTTCCCTGTAGGGGCTGTGACCCAGAGAGGCCCTGCTTGATGGTGCAAAGCTCCCGGGGCTGTGGGGCAGCACATCCCTCGCTTTGGGATGTGGAGAAACACATCCCTTGTTATGGGGTTGTTGGGGCATCCCATTCCTCTCTGTGGGGCCATGGGGCAGCTCCCCTGTCACTGTGGGATTTTGGGCAGCACAGCCCTCACTGGGGGACGCTGAACAGGACAATCCCTCGCTGTGGGGCTGTCGGGGTATCCCATTTCTCTCTGTGGGGTCACGGGGCAGCTCCCCCTCGCTGTGGGATTTTTGGGCAGCCCGGTTGTCGCCGCAGCGCCGCCGTGCCGGAGCTGCAGCAGTTCAGCCTCTCCCAACACGCAGCCTCTGCAGCCCACCGGGGCTTCCGCCGCTCCCGCCAAGCGCTTTAAATAAGAAAGAAATCGAGGTCGGCGGCAGAGCCCTGCCCCGGGGCATCGCTCCCTGCCGTGCCAGGGCGGCGGGGACACGTCGGACCCCCGTGTCCCCTGAGGCTGTGGGCACCCCCTGCATGGGGGGTTTGAGGATGGGAGATGATGCTAAATAATGTAAAACACCTGTGATATCCCCCCCGCCCCCCAAAAAAACCCACAGCCATGATTGTGTAATCTTAGGATTGGGGTACCCCATACTGYTCTGCACCCCCCAAATCCCCCAGGGAGCAACTCAAATCGGGAGGGGCACCCCAGGATCCATCCAGCTGCACCCCATCTTTGCAATGCACTGGCAGGACCTCTCTGTGGGGGTGTCCCCACGCTTGGGGGAGTTTTGGGGTGGTGGAAGCTTCCCCCTCCTTTTCGGGGCCCCCGCAGGTGCCGGTAAAGGGCATTTCGTGCAGTTGAGGAGCAGGTCGTGCATCCCGGCGTCTGGCGAGGCGGGAGGTGTTTCCCGGTGGCGCAGGAATTTGCTGTTTGCGCCTGTGTTGCGGGAGGTTGGGGGAAGGAAGAAGGGGCGGAGGTGGTGGGGGGGAAGCTGGCAGTTGTTATTATTTAATTTTATTTTCCTGCCTCCATCCAGGAATCTCTGCAATGTGCCGGCTGCTCCCCGGGAGGCTGGGGTGGCCGTGAGTCACCGCTGCCGCTGGAACGTGACTCAGTCCTGCTGCTCTCCCGGCAGGACATGACCAGACTGCCAAAACCCGGGAGAAGCCCCAGCTCCGGCTCCCGCCCGCGCCGGCGGGCGAGGACACGCGAAATCCCCTCGGGGAGCTCAGCCTCCCGCTTCCCGCGGAGATGGCAGCCCATTGCCATGGGGCAGAGCTCAGCAAGGGGGCAAGAATGGGCTTCTTTACTTATTTATTTACTTATTTATTTACTTATTTATTCACTTACTTATTCACTTATTTTTTTATTTTTATTTTGTTTTTTCTATTTTTTCCCCCAGCCAGGAAAACCCTCCCCACCCACCCTGTCCTTACGTCGCCCTGGGACTGGGGAGAGTCCCCAGGGTTTTGCTTCCCCATCTTCCAGGCTCTATGGGCGAGCAGGGAAAGCTGCTGGCACAGTTCCTAGCGCATTTCCTGGCACGGTTCCTGCCCCAGTTCCCGTGCCTCAGTTTCCCCATCCGGTGCGGAGTGGAGATTTCCCCATCGGGGAGCGGGACGGGGGTTACTTCAGGTTGTGCTTTGAGGTCAGGGAACATCAGCTGCAGGGGGTTATGATTAATATTAATTAATAGCYAGGCTGGGTCAGGGCTCAGGTGGCAGGAGGGATGGGGGGGACGTGAAGCAGCCCTGAGTCACAGGGCAGGAGCCGGGGGTGGCCCCGACACAATCTCTGCACCCCAGGCTGGAGCAGCCGGGGCTGGGTGATGCTCTCCCTCCTCATCCTCGTGTGGGAACGGCCCGCTGGCCCAGCAGAGCAGCGGAGTGGCCACGGGGCAGCGCTGAGCACCGGGATGCTCGCCACACCTCGGGCCCGCCGTGCCCCGTGGCCGCAGCTGCCTCTGTCAGCGGTGATTGAAAGCCAAGCCGGGCTGGCAGGCCTTCTCTGTGATCTTGTTAATTAAGAAATACATTTAATTAGCAGCACCCCAGCTGTGACTCAGCTAATCATCATGATCGAAACAAGAGCYGGACTCCAGTGCTGGAGCACGGAACCACCAAACCCCCTCACCTACARCGAGCCCTGGCTCTGCTGTGGGACCCCATCGCCCACCAGGCACATCCCGGCGCCCTCCTGGGGTTTTGGGGTGAGTTTTCCCCTGGGCTGGAGGCAGGCTGGGTTTGTGACTGTCCCCATGCMGCACCTCACACACAATGGTGTTGTCCCCACCCAGGGCAATTACCCACTGCCACACTGCAAATAATCATATTAATAACACAGCTACCGAGCTATAAATAGCCTTGATAATAACAGCCTGGGTTTTCCAGGAACAGATTGTCAAAAATGTGGGGAAAGCCATTCCCTGGGTCGCAGGTGGGGAAACTGAGGCAGGGCTGGTTTCGGGCATGACTCTCACCCGCTGCACCGAGCGTCTGCCAGGCAGCTGTGGAATTTGCTCCCGAATAAACCGTCATGTAAATGAACCCTTATGTATATTTATAGGAACCATCCTGCCAGCTGGAATCTAATAGGGGAGAAAATAAACTGGGAAACTGCCTGGAACAGGAGGGCGGCGCTTCACACATCGGCCCCACACCCCGCTGGCACTGCCAGGGCTRAGTGTCTGTCTGTCCCTGCTCCCCAGGCTGTCTGTCCCTGGTCCTGGGAATCCTCCCCTGCACCCTGGGGTGCCCCGTTCTGGTATTGGGTGCTGAACCCTGGTTCTGAGTGCCCAGCCCTGCACCCTGGGATGCCCATCCCTGTTTCTGGATGCCCAGCCCTGCACCCTGGGATGCCCAGTTCTGTTTTGGATGCTGAATCTTGGTTCTGAGTGCCCAGCCCTGCACCCTGTTGTGCCCACTCCTGTTTCTGGATACCCAGCCCTGCACCCTGGAATGCCCAGTTCTGTTTTGGATGCTGAATCTTGGTTCTGAGTGCCCAGCCCTGCACCCTGTTGTGACCACTCCTGTTTCTAGATGCCCAGCCCTGCACCCTGGGATGCCCAGCCCCGGTTCTGAGTGCCCAGCCCTGGTCCTGCGTGCCCAGATGCCCCTGTGCCCAGATCCTGGGGTGTCTGGGAAGCAGGCACTGAGTGCTCTCTGCAGATGCTGTAGGCTGCAGTGGGCTTTGGGGTGTGGGAAATGGGGAGTGTTGTTGGCACTGGGGGTAAGAGGGTGACAGGAGATAAAACTGCAGAACATTTCTTGTCCCTGTGGTTGGGGTGGGGAGGAGGGGGGAGATGGCACAGGGGGTGGCTCTGGGCTGTCCCCAGAGCTCACGGTGGGTGCCCCTTCGCTGCTGTGCCGGTGACGAACACGTACGTGTGTGTGTGTGTGTTGTGTGTGCACAGTGCAGTGTGGCAGTGCCACCCGGGTGCTGCGGAGCCCCCACCCATCGGGACAGGGTGACAGGGGTGACAGGGTGACAGGGGTGGCCGCGGCAGCGGGGCGGGCAGCAGCCGCCGCGGGGGTCCCCGGTTCGGCTTTCCCGCAGCGCCGGGAGGGGGAGCGGGCGGCAGCGGCGGAGCGAGGCCGATTAGGGATGCAGACAGCGCTGCTCTCTAATGTCTTCCTGTCTCGAGCAGACAGCGGCAGCCTGCGCAGCTCCGCAGCCACAGCCGCCCTCGGCTCCTCGGTGCGTGCCCCAGCCCAGCCTCCAGCTCCGGCTCCTCAGAGCGCGCAGGCAGCGCTGTCACAGGGACCTGGCCCCTCGGGTCAGGAAGGGATGCGATGGCACCAAGGCCAGGCGTGACCCCGCAGCCATCCTGGAGCGAGGTTCCTCCCTGGAAAGGGTTTTTGGAGCAGGGATGCTGGCAGCGCTCCGTGCTGCGGCACCTCTCCCTCCCTCCCTGCCTCCCTCCTGCTGCTCCCGAGCCCTCGCCGCCGTGATTCCCTGCAGCGGGCTAAAAATATCCCCGGGAGCTGCCGCGGCACACCGGCACTCGGAGCTGGTTATAAA